ATCAATACGGTCCCACGGCCCTCTGTGGCCCAAAGTTAAAAACTGTTGTTCCTTTGAGGCACTCAAGGTGGCGCTCGTGGCCCACAATTGGTCAGCACATGGGTTAAGAACCTCTGCTCTATGGGGCGGGAGTTCACCTGCAGTGAGAGCTCCAGGGAGGAGCTTTGTGTGAGTAGGCGGTGCTTTGTACCAGAAAGTGTTTAGGCAGCTCTACTTGGCTACAGGAGATTCAAGGATTTCTAAAACATGCATGAATGAGTCAAAGTAACACTCTGAATATGTTTTTGAGGAACGAATGACATTATAACGTGACATAAAGCTCAAAGTTGATTTTGCATGAAATCCCACCTTTAAAAAAATCTTACTGAGTAGCACATGGATTATGTGTTGGAATGATTCTCATTTACCAAAACTRAGCCCAATATCTCTAAAACTGACTGCATTAAAGTTATTGTTGTGTTTTACAAGGTGAGTTAGCTTTAGCATCTTGAATTAAGTTAAGGCCAAAGCTTTACATTTTGTAAAACTATATTCAACTTCTACGAGTTTCATTAGTTTGTTTAGTGATTCGTGAGGTATTTTGCTAACAATCACATACACTGTAATGCTATCTTTTGTCTTTTTTGTAATAATAAAATGAGGGAAACATATTGACTTCAAATTCTGAAGGAACTAAAACTCCAAGATTTTTTAAATATTAAATTTAATGTCTCTTCTTTTTCATTACTTTATACAAGTCACCACCTAACTTCAGTTCATGCCAACCACTGTGGAACATGTCAGAACGTGTCTCAGAAAAACCAGACTTCCTTTTTCCCCCCATGGAGTTAAAACCCAAGCAAAACATCATATTTTAGATCTGTACCGTTTTCTATCTTAAAACAAAAGTTAAGGGTAAAGTTTAATATCAGAGCTTTAGGTGAAGTGTCAGCTGTGTACATTTAGACACTCAACAGCTTTCATTTCTTTTCTTCATTTCATCTCTAATCTTGTTCCGCAAGGCTCATTTCAGATTTTATTGTTTGATTTTACTGTTGTTGTCTCTTTTTATTGCAACCTTTAAAGTGAGAAACCAAAGGAGGTATTGGGTTTGACAAATATGGATGTAATTACGACAAACTCTTGATTAAAAAAACAAGTGAGGGATGTTTTTTGTCTTTGTTTGTTTGAAGACATGTCTGCGTTTCTGAGAACACTTTCGCTCTCAAAGCCAAATAAAAATGATTTTTGATCTTAGGATGAAACTCAAACCAGAAAAGTCTCAAAAAGGATGAAATAGTACGATCGCTTCACRGCATCGTGATCATTTCCACACGAGATTAGGCTCTACGCTTCAGGCCACACAACTTTAACAGCTTTACCAACTTTTAAAAGCTGGACACATGATCTTTAAGGGTTAGCCTTGTTCTTTTTTATTTTACGCTCTGTCAAACCGTTATCAATAATTATGAGCCATGGAATCAGTAATATACCATGGAGTGTGAAGAAAGAATAAAAAAAGCTAATGGTTAACCAGTGCCAAAGCAACAAAGGATTTTATTTGGCTAGTATTAGCCTAGTCTAAAATAATACTCTTATGTATTTATCCCCACTGTGTGTAGTTAGTACCTTACTAGTACTAATAAGGTACTAAGGTACTAACTAGTGGTGTGCCAATATCGAAACTGGTATCAATATTTGGCCCTACCAGTATTTTTCTCCAATACTCGGGACCTATACGCCATTAAATGCACTACAGTTTACATTTCAAGTGAAAATGTGGTCAGTTCTATGTTTAGGAAATTCATACAAGTTAATAAAATCTTATTTGTTATTTTTTTATTTCTTTTAAGGGGTTAGAACAGTACATATCTTGCTTCAAATTGATCCAGTCAGAGGGGCTGTATAAGGAAGGAGAACCATCTTGTTTTAAATAAAAAAATACTAATAATAATACAAAGTTTTTTTAAGTCATTGTGCAATGTTTAAGTTCTAACTCAGTAAGTATCCAATATTGGTATGCCGTATGGGTGAGCACCTAAGTTGAAGTACTTGTATTTCAGAAAAACTGATACCGGGACACTCTTAAGGATGACTTTTAGGCAGGACATCACTTCAAAAATAACCAGACTGTCCCTTTAATTCCAACTTCAGACACAAGACTCTCAGACTTAACGCTGCTCTGACTCATTACACAGAGGCCAATTATCAAAGGAGTTTGTGTTCAAGTTTATAAATGTCCAAGTTTAACAAAATTTTAGAAATTTATAAAAACAAAAAGTGAAATATTATTTGAACTTGGACACTTTGTTCAACAGAAACTCAACTTGTGAAAATTTTGTTGATAAAACTTGCATTAATAATCATTTAACTTTAACCATCAAACCTGCTGGACCAACGAGCACTGAGTGTAGTCAAAGTGTTGATAAGACTGCTCTCTGCTGGTAAAACCTGGTTACTAAATACAACTGAATTTATAAGACAAACCAAATAAACGTGTTAAGTTTTTGATTCAACTCTTAAAATAATAAAATAATTGTGATGGTTGTTTGCAGACTCATTATTCCACAGTGACAATAAAGGAACATCTATATTATGTTTTAAAGAGGAAAAATGACTAAACTCATGTCTAGTTTTTAATGTTCTGTATGTCTACAGTATGTGTTCAGACTTTTAGCCTGTTTGTAGCTCTTCACCACAAACCACAAACCAGTTAAAGAGGAATTAGTGAAAAAATACAGTAAGTTAAAGAAAAACACTGATTGCATCTTTATCCTGTTTACAGATTTTTTTATTCAATAAGTTGCTTTCCACAAACATTGTAATGATGCAGCATTTACAGCAAATTTGTGTTTGTTTTGGAGTTCATTTATTATTTTTTTTTTACCTAATTTTTTATTCACTGAGGAGAACATCTTTTAAAGAAAGAAGTTAAGAAATCCAGCTGGATGAACAATTAACTAAACATACAAAAGATTTATAGTCAAATACTGAAATAAATTAATAAGTTAAAATAAAAAGCACATCATGATAATAAGGTCACAGACCAGTGGGAATAAGAAACATTGCAGCTTGCTAAAGATGTAAGAACACATATAAAACATTTTAATAGGAGTTCATATATTTTCATTGAATTTTCTGTGTCCAGCACTGGTAACAATTTCAATATCTTTGAGTTGTTTTTCAGTTTACTGATTTTAATATATTTTTTTAATATAAATTACAGCTAGCTAAAATCATTCATGAGGTTTCTGAAGTCCTGAGTGATGATTCGTCTCATCAGCAGTTGAGGAACGAGTTGGTTCTCATTATGCGGATGACCTTCCTTGAGGTGTAACTGTACTCATACTGCAGGTGATCATGGAAGAAATATAAGTATCCTGGAGGAGAACAAAGGTGGGGAGAAATGTTAGTCTTGCAATGCTGAGAAAATCGAAATGAATTTGAATGTAGTGACATCTTGTGGAGAASTTGAACTAAAACTTATAAAAGCTCCATAACAGCTTCTCTGGTTTGTTTGGTTTGGCTGCTCTGGGCTTACAAGGACCCAAGACGCTGACATTTGTCCCTAAATGAAACTTCCATGAATTCTTTATCACATTGCTGCTAACAGGTCCTCATGTGATAAACTAAATGTTTTGAGTTGGATTTTTTCTTTTTTTGTTGTACCATGTTGGAAAACAGCAGCGTCGACTTCGTCATCCATTCCTGGAAAGTCTTCCTCAATGGATCGAGGGTAGCCAGTGTCCATGGTGCCCGTTTCTTCATCGTAGCTGCAAATTACAAATAAAACACACTTAAAATATAAAACACATGAAATTTATGTGATGCCAATGCAGTTAGAATGATTTATGATTACAATAAATATGTTTTTTTTAAACAGATTAGCTTTAAGCTGAGATTTGAAGGTGAAAAACAGAAACAAAAAGTCATGGGGCAGAGAGGTTCAAAAACAAGTGGTGGAGCACCTGGTGGTCAGGTGAGCAGGTGGAGTGGTAATTTGGGAGCAGGAGGAGCATCTGAGTTTACAGGTGMGGGAATGCAAGTGTGGAGAATTGAGTGATAATCTTGCAAATGTTATTTGATGAGGAACCAACAAATTTGCTGCAGGACTGGTGTTTTACGATTGATGAAAGGGGTTCTGGTGATTACATCGGCTTAATTTTGACAACTGAAATTCAGGAAAGCCAAAAAGAAGTGAGTTACAAGAATAGGGGTGAGATGTGAACAGATTATGAACAGAATAGCAGTGGTGTGTGTGAGAGATTGATACAGGGGAGACATGTTTTATGAGTGGAAGTAAGCTGATTGACATTTTTGTTATCGGCATGGAAATATAGGGTGCTGTCCTGGATGACACCCAATCTCTTAACCTGGGGAGAGGGAGAAACTGAGTTGTCAGTGTGAATGGAGACATTTTGGAGYGTGTGAATTTCAGTTTTGTCACTGCTGAGATGTTGGAGAAGCAGGACCTGATATACTGAAAAGAGGCAGGTAGGAGGAAAAGATGAATTGGGTTCAGTGGAAAGTTAGAGTGTCATCTGCATAACAAGGAAACTGATGCTGTTTTTATGGATTATGTAGCCAAGAGGAAGGATGCGGATGATTAACAGGAGGGGCCCAAGGACAGAGCCTTGGGGTACACCAAAGGAAAGGGTGGAAAGTTGGGACAAGAACAGTTTGAGTTGAATAAATTGAGTACAACCAGAGAGATAAGATTAAACTATCTTAGTGGTGTGTCAGATGTTTCTATGGAGGCTAGCTTGTCTATGAGGATGGTATGGGAGGAGGGGGGAAACAAAAAGTAGCTATCATTAGCAGCCACAAGGAGGTCATATGTAATTTTAACAAGGGCTATTTCAACGCAATGAGTGCAATTTAATTGTTACTTAAACATACCTCCAATACTCTTCCTCAGTGAAGAGTAAAGTTTTCCCAGTGTCTTTAATGTGCACAGCTGCATCTACTTTCCTTATCTTCTTAGGAAGACCAAGCTTGTGGATGTACTTTGGGTAACCATCCACAAGATTATATCCATTCAAAGCCCACATTCGAATTCCTGTAATAAACACACAATACATATGTAGTGTACTGTATGTGTACTGTATATAGCGTCGTAGAGGAAAAACATGTACACAAAGTGCATTAAAGTGGATAAAACTCACCACTGAATATGATGACTAAATCTTTCTCGGGGTTTTCGTAAGCTGCGTCCACTTTCTTTGAAATGGAGGGCCAGGTGGACTTGATTAGAGTCTGCTCAGGTTCTGGCATCTGAGGATGGAGACGCCAATAATACCTACAAGAAGAGCAGAATAGGGTTAATAGTAAAATCAACAATTCATAATAGCCTTGGATGATGTGAGTTATTTAAGTTGATTTGCGGTAATGACGAACAGACAAAGCTAAAAGACTTAAAGTTATGAGTTTGAAACACAACACGAAATCATAAACGATGAAATTTTAATATAACTTTTGCCTCTTTTATCAGTATCAAGATGTGCCTCCACAGTACTACTGTATCTAAAGAAATCTACTGTACTCGTCTTTGAAGATGATGGTTTCTCCTCTGAGCTCTGTGACAGCATCAAAACTCAACATGGGGTCACATTTGGTTGGTGCATCAGGTTTGGGCTGTACTTTCTTTGAGTCTGGGTTGGGACCTGAAATTGACATCTGGCATTAATGAACAAAACATATCAAACTAAATATATAAATTAAAAAACAAACAAAATTAGATCCAAACTGCTCACCATACAGTGCTTGAATTCCATTGATGTCATCTACAGACAGTGGGTAACCAGTGGCGTAGGAGTAAACGGGGTACATCAAGGCACCAGGGTCTGATGAATGGGACATACCGAGGGCGTGGCCCAACTCGTGGGCTGCCACTATGAACAGGTTGTAAGCTGCAAAGGAAAAAAAAGACTTCCAGTGAAGAAAGTGTTCTTCAATAAATACAATAGAAATCAGCGAGGTGAATTTTTGGGAATAGTTCCTACTCGATGAATCTTTGGTCCAGTGTTCGTCCTCATCGAAGTGAGTGTCTCCTCCGATGCCCTGGCCCGGAGGGTAGGCATGAGCCAGCAGGCCGTCTGGGCCATCAAATGGGTTGTGGTCTCCGTGTTCTTCAGGATTAAAGGTAGACAAGTACTCAGTAACTGAATGGTCTACTTCACACTGGGTATTTCATTGAAAAATATTTAGTAGTATGCTTATTTTTTTAACCTTTTGTTCCAAAGCTGATCATGATGTCGGCGTTGCCCTGGTACAGCTTTTTAAAAGTCAAAGGGGTGACGTCAGCCCAAACATTTAGTGCCGTGCGAATGGCTCTGTCTACATCGGACTTCTTCAGATCAGGGGTGTAGTTCAAGATCCTGAAGTAACAGCAGCCAAAACAAATATATGATGTAAACAGACGTCCTTAGAAACATATTTGACTTTATTTCCCAACACAATACGCAATTTTTCTGTAGCAAACCTGAATGTGATAGCGTTGGTCATCCATTTGAGGTCTCGAGGAAAGTGGTTATACTCTGCAACATCTGGCACACCACATCTGGGCTCTTTCATCAGATCCAAAGTGTTATCATCGAGATTCCCAGTTACCTTCAGAAGCAGAGACGGGAATAAAACAAGTGCATGTGGTGTCAAAGGACAGAAGAAAGTATGATTGCTGTTGTTTGTTGGATTTCTTTATGTATAATTAACAAAAATGAGCTACAAGGGGGAAAATAGATGACATAAATTATTGTTTTTCATCTGTGTTCACCTTCAGCTTGAAGAATCTTTGCATTTCCTTAATTTTGGTCTGAAATTCACTTGAAGAAGTTCGTGCACCTCGGAGACCAGGTGACAAACCATAGAGGCGACGGAGGTACTTCTGTTAGAAAGAAATTTAAAAAAACATTACTAAACTGTGTAAAGTGAAGCAAGCAAAAATAAGATGAAGGATCTCACCTCTGCTACAAACCAGCCGTCGTCGTCGTCGGACCTCAGAGGCCCAGTGGAGGACTGAGGGACCAGCAGCAGCAGCAGCAATAAACCGATCATTGTTGTTGACTCTGAGTTCACTCACTGAGGTCCTGAAACACTGAAGGGTATTTAAGGAGTTTGGTTCTCCTTTTTTCCTTCTTCTTCTTCTTGTGATTCATGTAAAAGTACCTAGCCACTTCCTTTTTCATCCTTTGGGAATGTGCTTGCATCTGTAAATAAACACTGACAGTGCTTTCAGTAAACTGCATCAAACTTAGCTGAGATGTTGTAATAAATCATGCRCCACTTCAACAGGATGGTTTAATTTAACGTTTGACTGCAGATTCTGTTCAAAGGGAAGGGACGCCCTTTTTTCTCACTTTTATTTTAGTTTTGCTAATTTACACAGAACAAAGATTTTGAACATTGTTTCAGTAGGACTGTCACATCTGTAGTTATGATCTGTTCATTAGCTTTTAATAAAACAAACTTTATCAGAAAAAAAGACAAAAAAACATTTTTCTGTCATGCTGCTCCTGGTCTTGTGACTYTCCTGCATTTTGTGTCTTATTTTAGCAGAACATCTGAGGCAGATGAATCACAAACACACAGTATAAAAAACTGACTTTATCTCAATATAAAGCTTTTAGACAACAGATTTACAAGTTTGTGCTCTGAGATGAAAGACATAGACAAACTAAATGTCATGTCAACAAAACCTGAATTGGTGGTAGGCTGATCTACACATCCTGTACATTAGATTCATGGAAACAATTAAAAACAGCATTTCCTGATGTAGGTGTTTCTTATGTTTACAATTACTGTGTTGCCTTCCAAATAAATCAAAGGTACACATAGCTAAACTTGTGAATCAGCAAAAAGTCCCTTAGCTGTGTCTGCGCCCAACTTTCAGAACTCTCCGGTGTTTAGTCACAACATAAAACCAAACTGAAAACATGCATCCTATCAGATATGGTGCTCAGAATATCTCAAAGAAATATGAAATCAAGCAAACTTTAGGTATAATGTTCAGGAGTTGAAAATCACTTAATCTTTCTACTCAGAGATGATTTCAGGTTTCAGTGCACCCGCTGCACTCCTGCTTCACTACAAGATCTCAGGGAGCTCATTTTATCAACATTAAACACATCAACATGCTCCCAAGGTCCAAACCACACATGGGTCAACCATCACCACTCATTCTCACCTTTCACATGCTGTAAATACACTGTATATACACCACTAAACAATGTTGTGTAAAGTACCACAAAGTGATACTTGAGTAAAAGTACAAGTATCTTACCAAAAAAAAAAAACACTTTGGTAAAAGTTAAAGTCTCCTTTTGGAATATTACTTGAGTAAAAGTCTTAAAGTGTCTGATATTTTTTGTACTTAAGAATTAAAAGTAAAAGTATTCATTTAAAAGGACATTTATTAGGAGGTGACCTCCCCAAAAATGCTGAAATGACTGTTGTATTAAAATAATTAATTTAAATTAAAATTAGGATGCACTAGTCTAGCTGTTTCAGTTTATATACATTTATCAAGGCTGTTCAAAGCTTTCCCACAAAATAAAAATGTATCTAAGGGCTGCGGCCAAATGTAATAATATAATTCATGAAATACAAATACTTCTTAAGTACAGTCCTTTTATTTTTAATGATTATGTCCTGCTGGAGTGTGTCATGACTTGTTTGTGTACAAACTAATACGCTATCATAGTTTTATATATTTATACTTCTCATTCAATCACAGTTAAATTCACTTTAAGGGGCACAGTTTGTATGGATAGTATTTATTTTTTACAATAACAAGCTGGGAGAAAAACAAGCAAAAATGAAATAAAAGTAACAACTTTCTACTTCTTGTCTTTTTTAAAAAATGTAAGGAGTAGAAAGTACAGATAATTGTGTGAAAATGTAAGAAGTAGYAGTAAAAAGTAGGCTGAAAAATAATTACTCAAGTAAAGTACAGAWACCCAAAAATTCTACTTAAGTACAGTAACAAAATGTTTGAACTTAGTTACTTTARAACTCTGCCACTAAACATCATAACAACTTAGATGAGAGCAGAAACAACAGACAAAAAGCAGCAATCAAATTATGCAATCTTAAACAAATGAAACAAAAAGAAAAACAGGAACACAGTGCAAGGCAATCAGTCCTCGACAGGTTTAAAAAGTCTAAAACTTGAGGAAATATCTAAGAGCAGTCAGTGTAACTACCAAACTACAGCCTGTCTACTCTCTGAAAAAGAAATCGATGTCTTTGTAACAACACTGCTGAAATACCCATGTTGTGCTTCCAAGAGAWGAGAACTTCCACATTTCTCTGTCTTCACCTCATCTGTGTTCAGGTTGTAGACATCCCTCCTCCTGTTAACCTGCAGGCCCAACCCTAACCCAAATTTAATGAAGTACTGCTCTTGAACCCTTTGAAGTAAATTTACAAGTCTAGTCTCTATGTAAAGCTTTCAATCTGAATTTTTAACTTCAGCAGTCATAATTTTTGTAACTATAACTAATATTTAATTATTGAAGATAAAATGCACTATAACCATCTTTTTCTTTTTTTTTCCAAAGCTACATAGCGAATAAATGGTAACTCGATTGGCTACATAGTAGTGCTGTCAGAATGAATCACAGAAGTGATTGGCTGATTCTAGTCAATCAATCACGAGGTGGGACATGAGGGGCTTACCATGCATTTTGTGCGCTGGAGAGGCTATTGATGAAACCAYTTGGTCAAAAAAGGTGTCAGTCAAAGAAGACAAACAATTGAATAGATTGAACAGCTTGTTATGCAAATTCAAAGTCCCTGGTAGCATGGGTCAGACTACAAAGAGGCAGGAAGTAACCACAAACTGGCAATGTACCACGGGCAGTACATTGATGGTTAGGGGCTAGCCCCTCCAGAGAGGACGTATAATCTCTCCAMTGAGTTTAAATTTGGCCTCAGGGTCTCTTCTCAGTGACATGTGCACACAAACCCCCAGAGGAGGCGTCCTAATCAGACGCCCAAACCTCAACTGACTGCTTTCAGTGCAAAGAAGGACCAGCTCTACTCTGAGCTCCCCCTGGATCCAAACCTCATGACCACAGCTGAGGGTTGGAATGTAGACGGAACAGTAAATCTAGAGCTTTGCCTTTAGGTTCAACTCTTTCTTCACCACAACCGACAGAAAGGCTGACTCTCATTACTGGACAGATGTTCATCCATCCATCTCCCACTGCATCCTGCCATCAGTAGTGGACAAGACACTCAGACCTGGCTCTGACCTGGGAGAGAGCTTTCTTCACATTTTAGTTTCCTGATCRTCACTTCTCCAATCAGAGGTCTTAAAAATGCTAACAAGAACATGGGATCACTGGAGCACAAAACAAACAAACGTGACAAATTAGTCCAAAATACACGGAGGTCAGTAAAAAAGTTCAACAAACCACTGAAGTCTAAAAAAATAAAAACTGAAAATCGATTAATAATCATCATCATCTTGTGTTTCACCTGAACACTCAAATAAACAAACCCCTGTTGGTCTTTTTTTAAGTGCTTCCTGAATGCTCATTTTATAAATATTTGTTTTCCAAAATGTTTTAGAATGAGAAGATTGTGCAGATACTGTATTACTTTGTCCAACTGTGTTCACACAAACCTTTAATTTTTTTAAACACATTGTYAACATTACAGAACGAAACACTGGAAATAATAATAATTTAAAAAAGATGTTTCTGTGTTCCATTAGTTTGATGGAGTGTGTGTCAAACACACTGCTACATCCTGCTGAGACAAATATTTTTGMCCCATCAGGGTCCAGGAGGTGTTTGACACAGAGCCTCTGATTCATGCAGGAGGAAGTTGGACAGGAGGGGATTTTGGATGTTATTTTAAAATGCTGCCCGCAGGCAAACACACTAAGTCCCGTCTGTGAGGTCTGCATCGTCAGAGACGTCATMTTGGTTTCAAATGTAAAATCTACCCACGGTGCATTGAAGAATTGTAAACAGAGCTTCCGGAAGAAGCATTTTTCTTTCGGTAATAAATTTCTCTGAGTGATCTGGGATCATCATCGGTTATTCAAGATAAATAAATCAGATTTCTTCATAGTCCCCCCCCCCACACACACTCACGTGTATCGCTGTTTCTTTAACTCTGTTGCTGATTACACATATCAGAACTTCCTTATTTGTCTCATCCTTGTGTCTCACAATGTAACAAACAGATGATCTATCTGTGAAACAAGTCTAGCAGTGCAGAGRGTTAAAGAAGAATTAGAGCTAAAATGATATTTATCATCAAACCTTTATTACAGACTCATGGTCCACAGAACAAAGACAAGATAAGCAGATTAACAATAAAATCCAAGAACAAACAAACAACACAAAACAAAACAAAACAAAACAAACACAAAAAAAGAACTATAAAAGACAGRTGTACCAGTACCTCCACAACTGGGACTGGTAACGTGTTGCACCGAGTCTTATGTTAGTCATTGGCTGATCTAAGATATCCTGAACTCTTAACTGAACCTGTAACATTTTATAATGAACACAACAAATTTAGTTGTGAAAACAAATGAGAAATATCTTTTAACAGAATTGTAACAAAAACTCTGATGAGTTTGAGTTAACTTAATCCCCCAAAACATCGTTTATTAATGTAGAAGTTCTGTTATAGGATATAAATTCTAATCAAAAACACCAAAAAGTTGTGTATTTTGTTTGTTCGGCTTTCAGCCTCCATTTAATTGAAATTGATTAAAACTAAATGTACTGAAATAAAACAGTTTTTAACAAATAATAAATGATTCAACAGAAAGAAGCACCTGAAAAATAATTATTAATTACAATAAGGGGTTGGGGGGTGGGGGTGTTGTGTCCTTTCATCTTCCAACTTCTGGTCCCGTCTCTAGTTACCCTGGGTGTTGATGGATCAGGCTGACTCAGCATTTTGAAAGGTGAACACCTGAGGGCAGCAGATATTTGTCGTCTAGRTGGACAAGTGTCTCCTCAGTCACTCCACATATCTGTCGCCACATTGCTGAACGTGATTTTATCAAGAGGTAAAATGTTTGACAAACTTATCTCAAAGGAAAACATACATTTGATACAGTGTGTGTTTCCATTTTTATCCATCCATCCATCCATCCATCCATCCATCCATCCATCCATCCATCCATCCATCCATCCATCCATCCATCCATCCATCCATC